TAAAACCTCAGATTCATCATATGCTGTTATAAAAAAAAAAAAACCCAAAAAAACACCACACCACAAAACTCCAAAACTATACAAGCTAAATTCCTTACTCAACCAAGCCCATAAGAAAAGAAGGATCAGTATTTTTCACACCACAAATTAAAAACCTCTGTAATCACAAAAAGATTGAAATTGCTACATGACATCTGGATTTTACCTCTAGAAACTGACAAAACAGAACCTAGATGTTCTGGGATCTTGAGGTTTTACCCTACCTCAGGGCAGACCAGGCAGTTTTTCTTGAAAGTTTGCTTCAAGCCTCTCTCTAAACAGAGAAAAGCCATACTGGAGATGGCATACAGTTTCTTCACTGCAAATACAGATGATGCTGTCATGTTGCATGGAAATGGAGTAAGTAGGCACACAGCAAACACAAGCCAACAAATATTACAGATAAAGGCAATGTCCTGTCCAGAATTAACATGGACATATGATAAAGATTTAAATGACAACCTACAACTATAGAGACATAAACTGTCCTGTGTGTAAGTGTAGAGTTTCTTCACCTTCTCTCCCCCTGCCCCTTTCCTCTTTCTAATCCAGGATAGGGCAATATCCACTCATCATGACTGGCACATCTCTTAGAAAACTTCATAAAATGTAATGGAAGATATTTTTTCAGTCTAAATGGGCAGTCATTACGGCTAACATCAACAGTCAGCTTGTGACACAAAAAGCTACCATTTGTTTCAAAAAATAAGCACCAGTTATTTGCTTAATATTCTTCCCCTTGGGAACAGCTTTGTTAATTTTAAAATGAAGCTTCACATGCTAATGGCTAGTAGGAGATGCCTTAATAATAATTGATTTTCTATTACAGGCACACTCATTTTTCTGTGAATGAACATCTTCTAGTGTACATGCACCAAAAATAATTTGAGAATGACAAAGACAGGATATTAAGTGTCACGTCTATTATATTTACCTGGAAAGGTGTCTTATTTGTTTTCTACGCGCATGAATTATCAAAGAAAGAGGCTCATTGTTAATTCAGTAAAAAGCAATGCCAAGATTATTGCAAAGGAGTAGACTGCTCTAAAGCTATTTATTCATTTTGTTTTCAGTAAGGACACCAAAGATCATTACAGTGAGGAAGGTTGCAAGCATAGAGATATTCAGATATGCTGCTCTAGCCAAAATTGGGCTTGTTTTTTTATCAGCTATGTGAACGAAGGCTCTGTTCTAATGAGAGAGGATGGAGCCAAAGCCTACAATGCTACCATGGACATGTGTTGTCTAAGTTCTCTCAGGAGCTTTGCCAGACCTTGACTTTGTTTCCAGTTTCTCAAGGGTGGAGAAGTGATGTCCATCAAAACACATCTAACTTCAGTAAGAAAGACAGGAGTTGTTCAGAATTCAGCAGCGGGGCTGGGATCTAAGTGTCTTCTCTGCTCCCTGGTATGATCTAAGGAATTATTTTTTTTAACATCAAAAAGATGTTGTAGCTAAATCTTGCTGAAACATAAAAGAAATGCAGCTTACATACATAGTGATTAAAATACGGATGAAAATTAAAATTCAGTCCATCCAATACGCTGCCATTACATTATACACTACTAAAACACAACTTATATAAATAGGAGATGACTAAGGGCCCAGTCAGTGAGTTATAATAAAATCCACCAATAAGAAGTCAATCCATCTGTTTTCTCTTTCCCTTCTTGATGGTGCCACTTGTTCTGTTCATGTCCAGAGTCTACTCCCCAGGAAAAACCTGTTATCTGATTTCCTTTCATCACCATTTGGTAATTTGCATTTTGGTGGATGATGTTGACTACTTGATTGCCTTTCAATGTCTAGTATACATTTCATGAGCTATTACAATCTAACAGTAGCAGCAGTTTTCAACTTCCTGATTGTCAGCCATTCTACACCCAAGTGACTAAACGTTATTGCTTTTTCTCATACTCAGCTGGTATTTTCAGAGCAACACAAGGCTCAGCAAGGATAACCACTCAACCTCCTTCATGATTTTAAAACAAAAAACATCTGCCACAAATAGCATCAATAAGCCCTCAACAGATAACACGAAAGTGGGAAATTAATCACTTCCCAAATGATACTGTAAGAAGAATAGCTGATGGAACATCTACCATCATTTCTTCTTCCGTGTACATTAAAGAAGATTGGATGTAAGTACCTGTCAGAGTTCTTTAACAGCTTGCAAAGCCATCTTCTAGTTTTGTGCTCTGGCCTTTGCTTTATGCCTTAAATGGTTGTCAGTAAAATTATTTGCAAAAAGAAAACCAAATTAATTCTTCTCTAGCCCCAGGAGTTCTCTAAACTGGATCTTCTGCTGTGTTTTCACTATAGTAAGGATGTAATGCATAATTAAAAGAACCTTTCTGAGTCCACAGGGCTGGGACAACAAGGCTGCCCAGAGTCCCAAGGTCAGCCTAATGACCAGGAATGAACTCAGAAGCCCCCCACTCAGTTCTCATCTCACCCTAAAATATCTCATAGCCAGAGATCTTGAAAATGGCCACAGCACACCATGCACTGCAGCAATGCAAGGCCATAGTGTTGTGTGGCCTCCAGAGGCCCAGCCTGCAATCTCTGTAGTTCCATAGCACAAGTAAAAAGTAAACATAGCAGAGCCATAAACCTGAGATTTTAAATGGAAAATATTAACTAAATGTTGAAATTGTGAACTCAAGTCAGGATGTGACTAACAAATAACAACATTCCAATACAATTAAGTGTTTTGAAAAGGAGATCCTAATTTGTTATCTGTTAGTTTACTTGGAATCTTACACAGAAAGCCCAGTGAAGTCAGTTAGGGTACTATCACCGACCTGAATGACTTCTAGAGCAGGCACTGTTCA